TTGTCTAGTTCTACCGAGAATGGTGTCCTCGGCTTAACTGGGGAAGTTACCTCGGCTTCAACATTTTGTTGCCTCCTCTTGAGGTAATCTCTCAAATCTTCTTTACTCATTCCTAGAGCTCGGCTATCTTTTGATTTCAATCTTTTCGGCACACTACTTTCGGCCTCATGGTGGGCTCGTTTTGATCTCTCTCCATGTGTTGTGTCAAAGCAAAGTGTCTGCCCTTGAACATGGCGATGTTCTTTGGGCTCTGGATCCTTCGTGTGATACGTCCTTCGGGACTCTTCTCGTCTCGGCTCCTCTCGTCCGTCTTCCTTGGAAGGTCGGTGAGAGTGCCTTCCGCTCCTGGTGTGCTGAGGGACTTCGGGGATTATTGTTCTTCCTCCCTTCTGGGCATTGGTTGCTGGCATCGGTGTGTCCTGCAGCGGGTATGGTGGCTGCATGACATTATTTTGCATCATGAAGTTGACGACCGACTGTAGGTCCGCCAACTTGTTTGCCAAGTCTTTTACTTCCTCATCCCTCCGTAGGCACCTATCCCTCCATACCTGAAGGTTATCTTCGTTATAGTACTTGCCTTGGTCTGTCTTCTTTGAAGTGTTGCCCTCCTGGCCGACGTCTTTCTCGACGTGGCCTTGGTCATGAGTTTCTACATTGTGGTTGTCTCCTTCAACATCAAGGTCAATTGGTCTGCCACTCCCAGCAGGAGTGTCGCCCCCAATGTTTTCCTTCTGTCCGTTACTAGCCATCTATTCTTCTAAGATTCCCACAGACGGCGCCAAATTGTGTGGGCAATTTTCTAACCACGCTGCCCGCCTAGTAATCAGCTGGAGAGCATCGGCAGAATAGATGGCTTCAGCAAACCTGTAACAGAAAGAAAAGGCTCCGGCGGTGGCTCTTCCACCCGGGGGCACTCCGACGATCAAGTCAGTATATCTCTCAAAGATAATCAAGTGCTAAACTCACAAGCTTGAGTGTAAAACTGCGTACCTTAGACCCACGGGGGTGCCTCTCTTTTATAGTTTACTCAATCCAAGTCCCACTAGAAGCCTAACTTCTATGGACTCCAATTCAGTGCTTACTTTGGATTCCTTAAGAGATAAAGATAAACTCCCTAAGAGCTTTATCCTTATCCCAGCAAAGTCTTCTCTTTACTCTAGGACTCTTGTCCCTTATCTTCTTTTCTCGGATTCCGATATCTTCGGAGATAACCTCGGCCTCGCCAAGATAACCTCGGCATAACTACCATGACACGTGGCACCTCGGTTGACACGTCGGCGTCACCATGCCACGTGTTGGTACTCAGAAAATATATCCCCACAATATGTATATATATTTGAAAATGTTGGATTGATAAAGAAATTGAGTTTGGTTATAGCTGTGAACCCTATTTGTGGAAAAACTTTTCGCAAATGTCGAAAACCCAAGTTTTGTGAAAACCCTAGATTTTTTAAAATTTGGGGAAATGTTGTGATATTAGGAAGTTACGCATTGTAGAGTATCATCGTTGAGAAAAAAATAAAGAAATTGATATGTATTTTACTTATTGTTGAAATCCCATGAAATTGAGGATTTGATATTGAGAACTTATGATTGATATATTGTTATATTGTCCTAGAAGATGGGAGTTGAAAATGATGATTTCAAATGTTCAGAAATTATTGGTTTAGTAAGAAAAGAGAATCCTTGTTAAGAATCGTTATTCTTTATCTCTTGGAATATATTGTGTATATATATATATATATATTGAGTAGAGATGTGAAATTTGATTGCAATGGGAGATTGTGTGGGTGAAATGAGAGTTTTGAGAAATTAGAAAATTTCAAGGAGTTGATATAGAAATATATTGTATTGACATGTCATTTCATTTCATTATCATTGTTTTTCGAATTGGCATTGTGGAGATCATTTTTGAAAAAGAAATTGTTTTGTGAAACAAACGTTGTTGTTGAACTATTTTGGGGTAAATATGGTGGTAAGTCCGAATAGGGGGTGTAATTTTGAGAATTAAGTTGGCTTGAGGTCCAGGGTGAAAGACTAAAAACACGCGTAGAGCATGTGCTTATGCCTTCCGGTTAGGAGCCGGTAAAGTAGGTTTTAGTAATGCTTGATATGCTTGCTGGCAGACACAAGCTTAGGGATTAGCTAAGCCGTATTTACCACTCCTTGATGTTACTTTGAAAACATAGATTTGATTATATCTTCAAGCGAGCATTGTGCATGAGATTTTCAAATGAGAAATTTTTTTTTTTTTTTTTTTAAAAAATCCATACTCCATTTTTGCCTTGGAAAATTGCCTTTAACTAAACAAATTATTGTCATTATTATTTCAATGCTTTCAAAAGCCACATGATCACATGTATTTCTTGTATGCAATGCTTTCAAACTAGTTATACTATCAATTTAATTAAAATAACTAATAAAATTATAAAAAATCTTTCTACCAGACTCGTCGAGCATCTCCAATGCACTAGGCATATAATACTTGTTAGTTAAAATGCCTAGTGTGATTCACTTTTTTCAATTCCAATGCACTAGGCATATGATTAGGCATTTTGGCTCAACTCATATTCACTATCTACATGTAGCTAGCCTTCAACGCTAGGCAAAATGTATTCAATCATTAGGATCATTTCCCTCCATCTTTGTTGTTGACGTGGCATTCTATAAAATTAATAGTATTTGGATAAATAGCTAAAATAAAGAGCATGGTTGGAGTAAAAACATAAAACAGTTGATAGGCAAAATAAAATATATACTTTATAGTAATATTTAGATAGGTAAAATGCCTACTACCGTTGGAGATGCTCTTACAGGGAAAGATGTGGTGATCCTGCCTAAGTGAAGGCATAGTGGGTATTTGGAGCACGAAGCTCTTTGTTTCGTTATTTTGTTCTTGACAAGCCAAGGGCTTAACATGTATGGGTTAGAAAATCACTTATCTATAACTGGGCTTGAGCCTTAGAACTTGTAGCCCGCAAGGGCACTATTTTGTGTTTTGATTTCTAATGAATTCCCATTATATGTTGTAAATCCACGTTTCAAGACTTGTAGATGTACATAGACATGTGAAAAAACCCTTATATATCATGTACATGTGTCATGAATATATGCATATAATGAACTGAATAAGAATCATTTGATTATTCAATAGCGAAGGATTTTAAATAATGGAAATTGACCATGATTAATGGGTTAATCGGTCTTATCAAAGGTTAATTATTTGGGGGCATTATATAAATAGGTTAGAAAGGTATTTTTGAAAATTAAAATATCACGTTATGTTAACACCATCTGAAGTCTTCCCCTTATAATAGCACTAGTAGTGTATGCCCCACCTGATGAGTGTGTTGTTAAATATGAAAAATATAGATTTTAATTTTGATTTAAAAGCACACATATATGCTACTCAAGTAGTGTGAGTCTTGTCTACTAGACCAAAGATCTTGGTTTTGATTTCCAACATCTTCTCAGTATAATTTTGTATTTTAAATAGGCTGGAAGGGCATTTTTGAAAATCAAAATGTCATATTGTGTCAACACCATCTCAAGCCTTCCCTTTATACATGATGGGTGTGTTTTTTTTTTTTTTTTTTGGAAAGAAAATCTTTATTGCATTTTTTTGAAAGAAAATCTTTATTGCAAAACCGATAAAATATCGAATCAATATGGTACGACGGTGTCATAAGTTTTCAAAAAGAGATAAAAACTTCTATAGAATGAAGGAATCCAAGCCTCCATAAGGAAGGGGAACAAACATCCACACAAGAAGGATTATTGTATCAACAAACTAAAAATTAAGAAAAGTGAACCCTAAAAAAAAAAAACCAGTTCCAAGTCATCATTGAACTAATCCAAAACTTCATTACCCCGCAACCTTCAACTTAGAATCTGAAGACCCCACCTTCACTAGTCAAGATAGAATATTAAGGTTGACGTGGTTGCTTAGCTTGAAATAAATGCGTTATCTAGCATTGGCTTTCAAACTGTGAGAAGATCTGAAATCAGATCTTAAACAAAGTTGAGGTTGAGTTGTGTGTTAAATATGGTATATACAAATTTTGATTTTGATTTAAAAGGACTCACATGTGTTGCTCATGTAGTAAAGATCTTATGTATTAGACCAAAGGCCTTAGATTTGAGTCCCAACCTCCTCTCGATATAATTTTGTACTTTAAATAAGTTTGGAGGGTAATTTTGAATAAAATTCTTATGTCAATGCCATCTCAAGGGATGCCTCTATTCACACACCACCTTTCATCTCAAAGAACACCATTAATTATTATTTTTTTAATTACAATTTTAACCTTAGATAAAATGACCACAAAGGACAAAGGGTTATGATACACACCATTTGTATAATTACCATAAAGGACAATAATGAATATAATACCCATCAAGAACTTCAAACGTTACTTACGTATCTTGTCCGTCAAGAATCCAAAAACCCTACAAGAAAAACCCAAAACCCTTAAAAAAAAAAACTAAAAATATACATATTATTGAAGATTTTGATTGGATTGACTGATGGATGCATCTGATGATATTGGTTTGGAACAATGGAGCAAGGAAAAGGTTATTTTTTCATTATTTTTTTCGTTTTCGTGTACTTACTGAGTGGTAAACCGTTTGTATTAGTTCGATTATCTAGAGTCGAATATTATGTTCATGTTCGACTATACACAATCGTACAAATTGTGTTTGTTTGATTGACTAGTGTCAAACAGTTTCCAAAGTTTCGGTTTCTAAGTGTCAAACATAAAATATCTGTTCGGCTATCAATAGTCGAACATATCTTCTTTGTTCGACTCTGTACTACCGAACACGTATAACCTTTTTTTTTTTCAAAACTGTGCATCCACGGAATGCAGTAATGTTGGATCCGAGTGCCTTGTTGACTACACAAGTCAATTTATTACTAATGAGGTAGTCTCATGTCAAAAATTAGTATAATTTTTTTTTTCCTCATGTTTAATGACTTTGGTTAATTTGATATGTAGGTTTTCAAGTGCAAAGAAGAATTGCTCAGTTGGGCATGGGATGTTGAAAGCAAAAATGGTTTTGTGATTGTCATCAAGACATCGGACTATGGTGGTGGTCATAGGACACCAATGATATATCTTGCCTGTGAGAGAAGTGGTCAATACAGAGCTCATAAGAAATTAAAAGGAGATGGTTCAAACAACAAAATTGTGAAGATAATGGGTACAAAGAAATGTTGGTGTCCCTTTGAGTTGAAGGCTCGTAAATTGATGGCTGATGATGATTGGATGATAGATATAGCATGTGGAATGCATAACCATGCTCTTGCTAAACATTTTGAAGGACATTCATTTGTAGAGAGATTATCTGAGGAGGAAACATCATTATTAGTGGACATGTCCAAAAGCATGGTCAGACCAAAAAAGATTTTGGTTACCTTGAAAACCATTTACAATGTATGTCATAGAAATAATGTTATTGAGAAAGCTAGGAGATCACAGATGAAACAATTGTTGGGTGAATTAGAAAAGCATAATCACATTGAGCGGCATAAGTGTGACAACAACATGATGACTGTCACAGACTTGTTTTAGGCACATCCTGTTATTTTAGATTTGCTCCGTTCATTTCCAAAAGTGTTAATCATGGACTGCACATGTAAAACAAATCGACATTGTCTTTTTCTTCTTGAGATAGTTGGTGTGACATCCACTGATATGTCATTCTCCATAGCCTTTGCATATCTCCAATTTGAGCGGATTGATAACTATGTTTGGTATTGCGTAGTCTCTTGGATGACATTCCTATTCTCGAGGTGATTGTCACAGATAGGGAGCTTGCTTTAATGAATGCTATTGACAGCGTATTTTCTAAATCTCGACATTTATTATGCCGATGGAATATTGGTAGAAATGTATTGACGAAATGCAAGAAAATGTTTGACAATAAGGAGAAATGATACAAGTTTATACTAGCATGGAATTTCTTAGTACTCTCCTCAACTGAGCATGAATACAAAGAATGCCTTGCTATGCTACTTGCGGATTTTGATACACATCCCGAGGCAGTGCAATACGTGTCACAAAGTTGGTTAATTCCATATAAGGATAAGTTTGTTACCATATGGATAGATAGTTGTATGCACTTCGGGAATGTTACAACCAACATGTAATATATATTTGTCTACCTTACACTTTTAGTCATTATGATTTTGATTATTTAAACTTAAGTGTGTTAATTGTTTACATTGTACACATGGATGAAAGTGCACATGCAAAACTTAAACGACAACTTGGTTCTAACTAAGTCAATTTTGAGTGTTCTTGGACGAAGATCCATAGTTTGCTTGAGTTGCAGCATGTTGATAGTAAGGCATTGTTTGAGAAGAGCTTAATCATTGTACAACACCAGTTCAAACCATCCCATTTTAGAGAGCTCCGAGGCAATATCTTTATTACTGCATTAGATCATGTCTTAGCGGAGAGTAAGTGAACGAATGATGTTGGCATTGATGCTTCAGTATGGGGATGTGTTGTTCAATGAACACACGGGTTACCTTGTGCCCATGAGATTGCGGATTACATCCAACAGGGTCGTCCAATACCATTTGATAGCATTAACCCTCATTGGAGGACTCTAGAGCTAGTACAAAAGTTGAAGAATGATGAAGTGGAATTGAGTTGTAAACCAAAGTTTGATCTCATGCTTAAGCGATTCAATGCATCTGATTACACTATGCAGTTGGAAATTTTGCATAAGTTAGGAGAGATTGCAAATCTGCAAAGTACTTTTCTCATTGAGTCGGATGTGAAGCCCAACCCTCAAAGTAAGGGACATAAGAAGATAGATGTATCTACTCGTCGAAACCCATGTGCATTTGAGTTGGTTCAGTCTGGACATGAGAGCCACTCACTTATGGGCACCCAGATCCCCACACAGAATTCTGTCAAAGTACATAAAAAATGGCCTACCAAAGAGAAGGTACATGTAATCATTTTTTACTTATATTTTTGTTGATGATAGATTATGTGTTTTGTTGTCCATGTTTGGATGCCTTCCTTGTTGAATAGGTAAATGGGACTCGTACAACTACAACTTATTCATATGTTGATGACCTTCCAGTTGGATTGAAGTCGTACATACGTCTTATCAAGGATGTAGATGTCGATGGCAATTTAGGGCCATTGTTGGCTTGATGGAGCTTATAGAGGCTAAATGGGGTCAAGTCAGGCGTGATCTCCTACAGGAATTGCACTAACACACATAGACCATTACACTCATCTATATGGTTCACATGACAGGATTGAAGAACTGATCCATATTCTATCATACTTTGAGCCCAATCTAGGGTATCATCGTTGGATAACTATGCCTAACATGGGTCATCTTATTGAATCTTGTTATAATGTGGTATTGTACCACTTATTTGCACAACAATGCCTTACATTCCTCCCCCTACGATCAGTGCCAATATCACAAGTTCAACGGTGTGAGATTGTTATTGGATTTGTTAATGGGAATCATTTTGTCCAGGTATAGCAATATGATTTGTGTAATACATTTATCATTTTGTACTACATCACTCTCATACTTAAAGCTTTGTCAATGTAGGTGTTCATGTTACTGGGTCATCCAGTTCCACTGATAGCTACCAATTGGTGCAAATTTCATCGTTCTTGTGCGACTGGATGGGATACTGTATATAGTCACCAAATTGAGCATTTTAAAGAAGTTGTTCATTCAGGGGTAGCTACTAGAGAGACATTTGATTGTATTAACCTTGACGAGCAATGATGTATGTGAGTAGAGTTGTAGTTATGCAATTCAAATAGTTACCGATACATTTTTTTGCGGATTAGCATTTAAATAGTTAAGTTGGATTAAGCTTTGAGTTAATTTAATGCACATGGTACAACTTGTTCATTGTGGTGTGTCAAACGCATTGGCATAATACTTCCTTTTCATTACCAAAAATACAAACCATGAATACTTGTTCATTACAAAATATTGGTAAAGTAATTCTTGTTCATTACAAAACAACAACAACATCAAAAGAGTACTTCTTTTCCATTACAAAATAACAAAACAAGATTACCACAAAACCAACTACCTACCATTTACTCGTCTCCTACAATTGTATGTTCGAAATGGAATAGAACTAGGTCTAGCCTCATCGATTTGTTGATCCTGAAGAACACGTGTCATCCTCTCAATGGCCTCATATAACCTATCTGGCTCACAAACACTAGCATCATGGCCCGCCTCGATGATAAGATGCCTAATCCGTAGTGCGTGATCAATACGCTGCATTAAGAACAAATACAATTGTAATTAGCACGTGCCATCTTCAAAAAAAAAAATGTAAACAATGTGTGTGCAATATTGTCATACCTCAGCATCCTGCACATCAGATCGACTATCCTGTGCACGTGGGTCAAAACCAGACCGATGTGTGGGGTTCTGGATATATAAGTGTATGATGCTTGTATACCACTGCATGTAACCATCAACATAATCAGCTGGACGTCTGACTGGGGAACTCCTTCTCCGAGCAGATAAAACATGATTATCCCAACTTTCCCATATCTAATCAAGATACTGATACATCACTCTATATCGGCCTGCTGTGACACCTCTAACAGCATGAACAGGGTCAAGTGGCGCAGGTGGGATGGTCTGAACGCTATCAAACTGTCTAAGAACCCTTTTAGGATTATAGGGTTCAACTACATCCAAACACTTCAAACAGCCTGTGTAGAATGTGATCTCCTGACATGGGTGATGTTGACAGCAATCTCGATATGGATCCCAAGTAACCTAAGAGAGAAACACAAATGAAATCTTGATGAATGACATGTAATAAGAAAACTTAATTAAACTAATATTAATTGGTATACCTCATCAAATGCCAATCTGTCAAGCTTCTCCTGTAACGCCTGTATGTGTGATATTGTTGAACCAGCTTCCCGATGAGGAGTCCATCGATGCATGTGAGGCAATTGTATAGTATATTCCATGTTTTGGTGAGGTCTAAATGGCCAGAAATGCTCATAAATCCATGCCTTCAGCAATGTCATATAACCAGCCATCTGTCGAACAACTGATCTCGTGGCACATCCCAACTGTCGGTATAAATATGCCAATGCAGCTACACCCCAAGCATATGTATGAATATCAGACAAATCCATCAACAACTATAAGTACACAACAAGAACTCTCGTCCCATTCTTGTCGCTGAACAGTGTACATCTCAATAGAAATAACAAATACGCTCTGGCGGCACAAGTTATGGATTCCTCGGTGTCTGAATCTTTGCAACCACTGAATTTGCTCCGTAACCACTCCAACTTTAATGATTGTCCCCTAGCAGATGATAGCTCCTCATTTGCTTCAGCATTATCAACTCCCAAGGCAGTTACCACAAGTGCATGTACCTATTGATCTATCAAAGTTGCAGCACTAACTGATCTACCTGTGATAGGGATCCCCAAGATGGTACCCACATTATCCAATGTCATTGTCATCTCACCAACTATCAAATGGAAAGTATTTGTCTCTGGTTGCCATCGCTCAACAAAGGCAGATATAACAATCCTATTCACGAATCGATATGTGCAATGGACCAAAGAAGTTAGGCCTGACTGCTGCACAATATCTCTAAACCTTTTATTGTCGGTTCTTACCACCACCGCCACTCAAGAATCTTGGACGCATGATTATAACACCTTAAGGGATTCCTCTCCTACAAGGTAAGTAATAATTTACATAAATAATTTGGTTCAATAAATAATTAAAAGAAACAAACAGGGAAAAAAATATATACTACATTTTGCTCTCATATAACTGCTGCAATATGTGCCTTGAAGCTCTTCAGTATTGATGGATCTGATGGCCACCCAGGAAACGGACCAGTGAGTACCTCCTTAGCTTGATCAACATCAGCAGCTTCATTATCATCCCCTAAACCATTATCAATCACATCCTCTTCCAAGATTTGAGATGCTTCCTCCAACACAATATCATCACCCCGACCCCGACCTCGACTACGAGCCGGATTTGTTAATGCATGACGTCGTCTCTCTGAGGCAGTGGATGGAATACGCGAAGGGTCATCCATTTCTGAAAATGAAACAGAAAACAATAAAGTTAATAGAAGGAACACAAATAATTTATGTTAAAATACTCACAATCATTCAAATTCTTGTTTCTTTAAGTTTGAAATAACCCATGATTTTTACTTTTGTATAGAACAATTTTTGAAACTGTAAAACATAGCAAACTTTTTAGTTTTTTAAAAAAATGTGAGTTACGTTGTGAAAATATTCCTAAAACAGTTGGATTCTGCAGAAATTTCCATATTTACCATGGATTGGCTATGTGGTTGAAGATAACATATTTGTTTTCTACAGGGCTTTGGTGAGAACTGTACACCAAGGGGCCAATGCACAGTTGGAGCCCGTCTACAAGAAGAGGAGATCAAACTGTTGGTTGAATTTGTAAAATCACAGGCTGAACAAGGTTGGCCAAACATAGAAAGTAACACAAATTAATTGTCATGAGATTTTTTTTGAAGGTTTGCTTCTGTTAGTGATAATGGTAACTCATGCTAGCAAGAACATTTACGTGTTTTAAGTTCAGATTTGTCGTAACTATGAAAACCTATTGTGTAGAAGCCTTTCATAAATGCAATTCTTTCTATCAGATGAGCTAGTGAGCATCAAAATCAAGATCTCTGATTGTAGAAAATCAAGTCACATCCCTCGTAATGAGAATGGTATGTTTGGTTGATTCAAAATTTTTAGGGTGAATTTCAAATCAGTGGAAAGAAGTGAAAATAATTATAAAAAGGTGGTGGTGCAAGTGGTCCTGTGCTCTAGTGCAAATGAAAATTATAGCCTTTCACCAGAGCACATACTCCACTTGCACCTCCAACTTTCTATAATTACTTTCACTTCTTTCCATTGATTTGCAATTTTCCCAAATTCTTATGGCTACAAACATTGTGCTTTCTATAGCAATTAGAGGTTTAGTACACTTGGAAGATTTAACAGTTATCATAATGCCATTAGATAAACTCTATGGTAAGTTGGAAACAATGTGTTTTTAGTTTTTAACTATCATTCATTGTGTTATGATTGGTCTAGTAAATTCCATTAATAGCAAACTCTTATTTAAAATTGATGACAAACTTCTAATTTTAGACTAATGCATAAGATAAACACCTTTTAAATAAACTTGCCCATTAAGGCTAGAGCTATGTACCATAACCTCATGGAACTTGCAAAATGGACAAGCATCCTAATTTTTGTTCTTTGCAACAATTTTAGAAATTCGAATATTAAGAAGACTTATGATATCAGGAGACAAGTTGTAGATAGATCAAAATTTATGATATCAAGAGACAAATTATAGATAGGTTAGTTGCTCTATTTAATTTGTTATCTGTCTTTTACGTATTATCAGTATATCAAAATTTCTTTGCAATAAACGATAGATGTTTTATGTAGTTAAAAGACCTTTAGTTTAAACCTTTTTCCTAATTCTCACTTAGTTTGATTTAGTTTGGTTTCCAAATTTTTAAAACCACAAAGACTGATTCAATTTTTAATTCACCTCAAAACTGAAATTAATCAGCCAGTAAATCTACAAATAACATTACATACAAGGCTAATTTTTGTGAGTTCACAAGGGTGGATGATATTTTTTTTGGTAATTCATTTTTTATTATTTTATATAATTTTAGAGCTTTCAATTAATTTTATGGTTTGTAATGGTAGATCTAGAAAGCAAACTATTAATTGGGGAGAATGTGGTAATGTATTTGACTTGTAGCCTGTAAGTGATCTTTTACAGAGAAGATAATGAGAGGAGTAGAAGATCCTCAGCTCTGTTGTAGTAAATTGTTACAACCACATAAGATGAGTTCTGATGCTCAATGGGACCAATTCAACTTTAATGAATGAGGATTTTGAACATTCAAACTTACCTGGAAATGTGAGAGTAGTTCACTGTTCAAAACTTGCAGTTCTACTAACCCTTTTTTGGAACTCTGCTTTAAGTTCAAGAAAAGTGAATTTAACAAAATAAATAAATAAATAATCAAGAAGCAAAAAAAAAAAAAAAATATTATTAAAACACAGAGACTGTTCCATTTCATTAGAGGAATTGGTCTGGCCCTCTAGCTACTGTTCACAACAAAGAAATCAATAAGACAGAAAAAAATACACAAAGAGTGTTCGACAGTACAACATTGAATATGTTGTTAGTGTTCGACATTCTAGATCCGAATTACATAAAAAGGTTTGACAGTAAGATGTCGAACATGTTCAACATAAATACACTGGACAAAATGCTATTGTTCGAAAGTCAAGTGTCGAACCACATGTTGTTCAACAGTAATTGACCGTACAGATGTTTGGGGTTCGAAATTCCAGTGTCAAACAGTTCGGAAACTGAATCATGCTAATACAAATTTCATGGCAATAGAAAAATGTACATAGAACCCCAAAATCTAAGTCAAATGAGAACTCACCTACTGTATCTCCAATGTGGAGTTGTTTCCAACTGTGTTTAGCACCATCGATGACATCTTTAATGAGAAAAAAAGTGTATTGAGCAATGGGTCTTCACCGGTTTAAATAGAGAATGGAGGGGGAGATGGAATATCATGGATAGGTGGGGTGTGTGAGTGAGTAAGTAAGGGTAAAGATGGAAGATTGTGGGTAGATTGTGGGTGGGGTGTGTGAGTAAGGGTAAAGATAGAAGATTGTGGTGTGTATTAAGTAAAACATTTA